GGAGACCTAGTCCAGGCCACAGGTGGTGGGACCTTCCCTGGTCTGGCAAATCCCCTCGCTCGGGACCAGTCGGGTCCCAAGGGTGCCAGTACAGCAAGGTCCAAACTGTACAAGAAGCAATGGGCTTAAATTGCAGCAAGGGAACTTTAGGCTACACATTAGGAAAAACTTCCTAACTATCAGAGTGTTTATCTCCTGTAAGAAATTTCCTATGGAAGCTGTGGAATCTCCATTATTGGAGATTTTTAAGAGCAGGTTAGGCAGACATCTATCAGGGATGGTCTAGTCCAAGGATGGGCAATAATTTTTAATGGGGGGCCATACCAAGATTTTGGAAAGTGGTCAAGGGCCGCACTCTTCCATGATATTAATGGAGGAGGTGTGTGGTCTGTGATGGAGGTTGGGTGCAGAAGGGAGCTTAGGGCAAGGGATTAGGGTAGGGTATAGGAGGGAGACTGAAGTCTGGGAGAAAGTTGGGATGAAGCAGGTAGTTGTGACCTAGAGCAGGGGAGTGGAGTGCAGGGGTTTGGGGCGTGACCTAGGGTAGGAGGGATTGTGATCTGGGGCAGGAGAATGGAGTGCCAGATCTGGGAGGGGGTATTGGGGGTTTGGGATATTGGGGGGGGGGGGGGGGAGCAGAGGGTTGGGACAGGAAAGGGCTGGGGTGCCAGAAGCAGGCTGAGGCCAAGAGACTTACTTGCCAGCTGCCAAACTAGCCTGCCTGCCTGCAGAGGTTTCCGAGCCTGCCTGTCGGGCCATGTGCATCATGAATAACTGAGTCCAGGAGAGGGAGTGTGATTCTTCTTAGCTGCCTATTAGTTCAACAAGCAGCTCCCATTGGACGGTTTCTGCCAAAAACTGGCCAATGGGAATGCGCTGGGGGTGGGGTGGCTCCTAAAACTCCCCCCTAGGGCCCCCCACTGCTTCCATGGGCCTGATCTGGTGGCTTGGCGGGCCGTATTTTGCCCGGGCCTGGTCTAGATAATGCTTAGTTTTGCCATGAGTGCAGGGGACTGGACTAGATGACCTCTCAAGGTCCCTTCCAGTCCTACAAGTCTATGTATGATTTCCAAAAATATATTATTTATTTCCTATATGTAAAGCAGAGAGATACTGCAGAATAAAATAGCTCTCAAATCACTTCAAAGTTTATGTATTGGTTAGTACACATGCAATATGCTAGGTTTCCTAATCCTCACTCATGCTTGTGGGAATTTATTCACTCTAGCAGAGTAATCAAACAAATGCTTACTAATGTACATTGCCTACAGTAAGAGGCTATGCAAAAGGTAATCTGAATGGCAATTCAAGTCTGATTTTATGGTTACTTTTAATTGTCTACTCTTTGTAGAGTGCAATTAGCATAAATGAAATATTTCATGTGGCATATTACTGATTTTATCTGTATATATTCTTGTTTTTCAGACCTCTCAAAGAAAGATTATGTTAATATATTCAAACTTCACACTTTGTAAATATTGTAAAAGTTCATTCAATCTTGAACCATCAAACTTCAAAAGCAGTACGTCGAGATTTCCAAAGAATAAGTTAGGGACAGCTTAATCTGCCCTTTCTGAATCCTAAACAGTAATCATTTACTTTATAATAACACTGTTCACATTTTATTTTGATCCTCATGGTGCTTCCAATATTTAACTTAGCTCTGCATTCCATTATGAAATATCTGACTGCTAACTATGTGGTATGCGAAGAGTAAGCATATCAATTACTGGTGGCTGCTTTCTCCAAAGCAGCATATGCAAGGGTAAAAAAAAATTGGGAAGATGAAAAGTCAGAAGAATTTATTATATTGTATTCCAAACACAGAAAACCGTGTATCTATTCTACACCTTAACACACTCCATGAAACCTGATCTTGCTTTTTATACCAAAAACATTTTGCTGAAGACTTTTAAAATGGTCTTTGGACATGTATTATACATACTAAACACGAAGTTAATTTGGTTCTAGAGAATCCAAGCTTCTAGGAATCATAATTATTCCCTAAAGGTACTTTATCAATCTAGATGCTAAACCTCTTGGATCTTACATAAATTTTGTCATGGGGAACCGTGGTCTGGTTAGTTTCACATTCTCCTTCTTGGCCCAATTGGCTACTGCCCAAACTGTGCCAGAACCACTTTCAAATCCAGAAAATCTTCAGGAAATAAGTTTTTCATTGTTCATTGGGAACTGGGAAAAACTAAGCTAGAAATGCTACACTGACCACAGAAGTCTAGATATCCCATACAGCATATTATGGTACCTGAGGAGTCCCTAACAAATGTGTGTTATGAATTACTTGGCATGTCAGTTAGCCTCTGGCCTCTACGGTATATATTTGTGGATTCCCTTGCTACTATGAAAGGCCTATGTAGAGTTATATGCCCCTGTAGTCACTGTACTAAAACTGGAACATTTCCCCTTATCTCCTGTCACTCTGGGAAACATCAAAACCCTTTTGGTTCCCCAGTGGCTATTCTGGATTTGAGGAAGGGGCAGTGGCCCTTACCTGGTAAGCCTAAAGCTACAGATTAGGGGAGCAGCCACTTAACACCTTCCTCCCCAGATTGTGCCCAGGAGGAAATCACAGATCTCCAATCACTCCCCAGAAATTAGCTGAGCCTTGGCTTGTGGAGATGTTGGCCTACAGCTGCAAAATCATCATCAGTTCAGGTTTGTAACCATATCAGCTCAAGCTGGTGTTCTCACAACACAACGGAATTGCTACCCACTACATTTCGAAAGGATTTATGGTTCTAGGTAAATATTTCTCACAGACTTAGATTCAGCCTGGGATATTACATAAGAATGGCCATGCTGCATCAGACCAGTGATCCATCCAGCCACTCTCTGGCTACAGTGGCCAGTGCCAGAAACTACAGAGGAAATGAACAGAACAAGGCAAGTCCAGTCCAAGCTGCTAGAAATCTGAGGTTTAGAGACTCACAGCATAGTGCTGTGTCTCCAACCATCTTAGACAGCAGCCATTCATGATCTGTCCTCCATGAACGTATCTAATTCTTTTTCAAACCAAATCATACTTTTCACCTTCACAACATCCCAGGTAGTCTATATATTGTATGAAGAAGTACTTGCTGCTGTTTGTTTAAAACCTGCTGCTTAGTAATCACATTGTGTGAATCCTGGTTCTTCTGTTTTATGAGGGGGTAAATAACACTTTTCTACTTACTTTCTTCATACTATTCATGATTTTATCAACTTCCATCATATCCCCTTAGTTATTTTTTCCCCAAGATGAACAGTAGCAGTTGTTTTAATAATCTCACTGTAAAACGAAGTTGTTCCATACCTCTGATAATTTTTGTTGCCTTTCGTGGTATCGTTTCCAATTCTAAATATACATTTTTTATATGGGGCACCCAGAACTACAAGGTGTGAACGTATGATGAATTCATATAGTAACATTATGATAGTTTTAAAAAAACAAAGTTATCATATTCTAGTGGTTCCTAACATACAGTTTGTTTGGGTTTTTTGGGAGGGGGGGTAAGTTCCACCACTGTGTATTCAGCAGATATTCTCAGAGAACTATCCTTGATGACTTCAAGATCTCTTTCTTGAGTGGTATCAGCTATTTAAACACCCATCATCTTGTATGTATAAGTGGCATCATTTTTCCTCATGTGATTTACTTTGCATTTGTGAACAGTGAATTTAATCCATCATTTTGTTGCCTAGCCACACTGTTCTGTGAAATCTTTTTGTAATTCTTGGCAGTCAGCTTTGGACTTAGTTTTCTTGAGTCACTTTGTATTATCTGCAACCTTTGCCACCTCTGTGTTTACTCCTTTTCCCAGATTATTTATGGATATTTTGAACAGCACTGGTCCCAATACAGATAGTTGGGGGACACTGCTATTTATCACACTCTACTATGAAAACTGACCATTTATTCCTACTATTGGCTTCCTGCCTTTTAACCAGTTATTGAGCCATGAGAAGACTTTTCTTCTTACATCTTACTTTGTTTAAAAGCCTTTGATGAGGGATCTTGTCAAAAGATTACCGAAAGTCTAAGAATAGTTTTAGTCCAATCACATCTGTAACTTTTAAATGCCGTTTTATAATTGCCACCAAAACATCTCTGTGATATTAACCTTGAAGATGGAATTTCTATTCTTTATATCACATTTGAAATTCTGCCACCTTCGAAAGTAAATAAATCTGAGTTCATCTGTGAAACAGGGATTTTAAAGAAAAACTCAAGGTAGAGAAGCCAAAAATTATTCCTAACTTAAGAAAAAATAAAGTGCTGTATGTTGTTCTAACTAAAATCTGCATTTTTAGGTAAATGGGAAGCACCTAATTCACAGACATATTAAGTCTAAATAGAAATATAAGATCTGTTTTTATATTTCTTACTTGCACTGGTTCGGTTGATTCCTCCATTACCTACTTGAAAATAAATGTTTACCAGTTTATTTTACCAAAGTATATATTGATGTTTTATATAGGTTATTAATTTATATGTTATTTATATAGTCTAGTGGATAAGGCACTAGACACTAGGAGTCAGGTGAGCTGGTGTCTATTCCTCGTTCTACCACTCACCTTCGGTGCAAACTTAAAAAAGTAATTGCCTCTCGGTGCCTTCCCTTTCATCCTTCATCACTGTAGTCTCTTTGGTACTGGGACTCTCACTAACTGTTTGTACAACATCTAGCCTAAAAGGGCCCTGACCTTGTTTTGGGCCTCTAGGTCCTACAGAAATACATATAATAGTTGTACATGACAAACAACCATAAGTACCCACAAATTATTTGAAACAAATTTTAATAAAAATACAGTGTTAATGGGCTACTGCATCCACAAATCATGTACTAGAAAGGGGGGAAACCCCAGATATAAAGAAGACAAATGTTCTCTTCAAATGAGTCTCACCATTAGCACATTCAACTTTCAAATGTACAGAAATGCCTGCTTCATTTTAAATTTTCAAACAAATGTTTATAAGTATGCATTTAATTATAGCTTACCTGTGAGAGACTGCTCCCCAAGCACCATGCTTGTTAGTTAGGATATTGAGTATCTTTTGTTTCAGCTGATTGGCTGTAACATGATCTCTATGTTTAGCAGCACTGATAAGGTGGTCACACATCTTTTCCTCCTCTCTTCTATCAGCAGCATATTGAGCACATTGTGACTAAAAAATAAAAATAAAAAAATAGTAGTAGTAGGAAGTGCCAACAATTTGCTTAGGAGTGTTTTCATTTCTCTAAATGCTCCTTTATACATATATCTTTCTCACTAAATTCAGCATTTAGAAGTAAATAAAAAAACAACTTGCCAGTCACAGAAATACGAAGTCTAAACAAAAACACATTGTGCAATTTTATACTAATTTTCACTGATTGTGTTGAAATCTCCCTTACATACTCCAGGAAAAAAAAAGAAACATTAATTCTATGTTAATGTTTAGAAAGTAAGCCATCAAAAGTGAGAAAATGCAGAATTATCATGAAAATACACTTATCTCTTCCTCTTTGTTTTTATAACATAAAATATGACCTCTTTTAGATTATTATAAATTGTTTGCCAATTAATATCTTATACAATATATTATACCCTGTAATTTCTTATACCAGTCAGACTTAGCTTGACTTTTAAGTCTCAGTGAGATCTACAAAATAATATCCTGATAGTTCAAAAATTCAGCACCTTTATAATTCTGGATCTTAATGTGATCTCCACTGAAATGAAATATATTTATTCTTTATCACCTGAATTCTTTACCCTTAATCTCCATGTTACTTGTATGAAATTGAAATCAAAGCTAGAAATAATTATTTGATCACGTTGTTCTCAAAATCCATCTCTCAAGGAATTTCAGCAAAAAGTTTGCCCATCTCTGGTCTACATCTATATCTATACAAAAACAATAGCGGTTTTCTTAGAGACATATCTTAGACACATTAATCTCAAATAATTTTGAATAAATTGTGTTGGTTAATTAATGTCTGAGTGTGCAATTATCATTTCCAAATAAAATGTTTCATTTTGAGTTAGGTGTTTTTAATTTATGCACTGCCTAATAATTTATCGTTTCCTATTTCAGAACAAATTCAATCAAGATTTAGTATTATCTAAACAAGATACCAAAATTAGAGTGAACCTCTCTAATCCAGCATTCTCTGGAATGGCCAAGAACTGTGGTCTGGCGTGATTTTAGTTAGCTGGATGTCCACTTATCAGGAGTGTGGTCAAGTTTCTCATGGTCCCATAAAGTTTGTTTATAGTCACCAGTCCTGGTTCTCAGTGTTCTGTGCTGTTGTTTAGCAATAATTTACCTCTAAATGTCTTCTATGAGCCCAGTAAGCAGTAGAAGTGTTGTTAATGCTGCCAGATAATATTCACTCATATGGTCCTAGCAAATTCTAATTTGGAACCCCTGAAACCTGACCGGTGCTAAACCAGAGAGAGGTTCAACTTGTATATAATATTTCTTATATCAGCTGTTGCAATTAAGCTAATACTGTACTAAAGACTTCTTCTTGCATTTCATGACGTTAGGTGTGCACACTCTTAATGTTTTTATTTTTTACAATGGCAGTACTTGTTGTAAGATTCTAACTATATATTCCATCTCAAGCACTGAAAACTACCACTGAAATGCATCTATTTGAGACAGCCCCTTAAAAATAATGTAATTCCTAATTCATTTTTTCAATTTATCTTCATGTACAGGGAAGCACCAATTAGTACAATGATCTGCCTGAGAAATGAGGTTAATATTTCACCAGCTCATTGGACAGTAAAATTAAATTTTCATTTTTCTTCCTGAACAATTACAGAGGCTAAAATGAATGTTATCTGTTAAGCAATCATTCTGGAAAAAACTGGACTCTCTCATTAAGAGCCATAACCATAAGACAAAATTCACTAGTGTTAACTTTTCACACCTTTTCATTCACATCTGCATGCCCATATCATGTAACTATATAACTTTAGTCAAATTCTTGCATTAGTAATGATACAACTGAAGTTTGAAATGTAAAGGGAGATTACTTGACCAGTAACATACACATTCATTTTTCTTGTATCGAACAATGATTAACCCATTCAAAATAATCAAAATATCTACAATATAAATGCATTAAAATATTGTTTAATCAAATAAAACTGTTTTATAATTTAAATGCAGTAGATGGTAAAAAACAAACAAAAAAACCCCTTTCACACATCTTTTAACCAGGGTGCATGCCTATAATGGTTTGATGGCTAGGTAATTTTATTATAATATCAATATGCAAAAACTCTGTTTCCATCTCCAAGCATCATCTTGTTTTAGGTGTACTTAAAACTTATATGTGATACATAATTACATTTGATTTTTTTAAATTATAATTACTTACAGATTTTATCTTCTCCATTTCAAACATATTTTTGAGTTTTTTCACAAGACAGTAAATATAATAAAAAATAGAAATATCTTGGTTTTCTTACAACAAAATAAGATTGATTTAAGGCTTTTCCTTTAGGGAATTTAGTTAATATTCTAAATCTTATTTGCTAACAGAAGCTGCAAGTTAATTGAATTGTCTCATTTTGTCTAGAGTTCTGACAGATCTTATACCTCAACATATTCTTCAAAGAGCAGATAACTTAATCTTCTATTGTCATCTTAGGTTACTGTATGATGCCCTGATAAATATCAAATGTTATTTATTTTTGAGGCAATATGAAACTTCACTCTGACATACACTTAATTGTAAATGTGATTTTATCTAAGCTCAAAATATCCAGTATATGTTTGGTAATAAAGTTGTTGCAATCCCATCTGACAAGTGTCTGCTGTCTGGCCTGACAAAATGAAGTAAAGGTTATATGTATTCAAAATGACAACAAGATATCTCTGTGTCTTATATTTTTCCGCTAGGTCAAGGAGCACAAGAACTAGTACATCAAAGTGTAGGTTTTAGAGAGCTGCTTCGATGAGATAAAAACCTCATCAAAACCTAGATTACTTCTTTCTGTGTCTTGCCACAAGGTACTTGTTGGCATTCTCTGACTGATTAATATGTTCATATAGCTATTTGTTATCTTCAAGGCCACCAAACCTACCTATCTAATTCTAATGCCATACCACCCAAACACTAAAACATGTTTTGCATATTATTTTATATGCACACATATAGGTACAAAACATATACACTTAGACAAAAATAGGAATAATAAAATATTTATATTGAAATACTATATATAAGCTTAAGTTCTCAAATATGTCAAAAGATCTAACAGGACCATGGGAAATTCCAAGTAATCAAAAAGGAGAAAAAAGTTTACGTTAAACAGTAATTTAAATATGTTCTTAAAATAGCCTTTAGTATTTGCATTTTGCTACAAATTATTTTCAAACACAATAGGTGGAGTTATATGCTATAATCTTCTTGAAGAAATAAATGTTTAACTACATACTACTTCTGTTAGCAAAGATTATCCAGAATAGTAAGGGTTACAGGATCCAGCTCCTGCTTTTCACTTCCCAAATTTAAAGACAATAGAAATTTCAAATACTATCCTTTATTTGGTAGTTAATGATTCTTATTAGCTTAGCAAGTAATAAAATAAAGTAATGTCTTCTAGTATATATACCTATCAAATAAGATGCAAAAGTACTGGAAACCATTGATATTGAAAATACTATACTATTTACAGAATGCTAATATTTATTATTTTCCATAAAGCGCTTCCAGTGTGCTAGCCTATAGTTCTATTGATTATATACAAAACTCACATTCTGTTGATGAAATGCAGGAAAAATAATTACACTATTAAATGTTATTTGGGTTGCTATTAGCAATAAAAATCAGAAATGTTCTCCATTAACATTAAAAATCTTCCATATCAAGTTAGTAGGCATTCTGATTGAGGGGTCTCGTCAAGCTGTAAATATTTTCATACATTTAAGGGATGGGATGTAGCCTATAGGACTAACCTACTTGCTTGCATATAGATTTATAGATGTATGATTTCCTTATAGTTTTGATTATATGTTTATTATCATAAAGTTATATTAGGTTTAAAACATAACAGACTTACAGGTCATATCTATATGTTGAGCTAAGGCAAAAGTAGCATGTACATGCCTGGGACCTGTCACCCACATAGCAAAGTCAGTATGCATATATTTGGAACCTTTCACTTAGACAAAGCAACCTTCAATGGCTTAGGGGTTTCCAAGAATACCCTAAAACTTAGGAGATACATCATTACTTAGTAAAACTTAAAATAACTGGTTAAGACCAGACTGAATAACCTGGTAGGACAGAAAGAACAAATGTGATAGACAACCATAAAAGGCCCATGGTAATTAACTGATGTGTATGATAAATTGAGATCAGTGATGTATTGATCTATAGGAAAGAGAAACGTCACCGTTAGTAAGGTGAGGGAATACAAATAAGGAGAAAAGGAAATATCCCCTACTGAATATGTAGCAAACATAACAACATTAGCCTAAAACATATAAGTGACATCCCAGCCTCGAAGCGGTAGGAGGAGATGATGTAGTCCTTGGGAGTTGCCAGAATGATGGCCACTGGTGACAACGTGAAAGGCAAAAGTCACAAAGAAGATGATGGCTAACATTTCAGGTTGTTCTAGAAGGAATGGTGTGAGTATACAGTATGGAAACATAGAGGTACATTCCTTATCTTATGAAACTGGGCTTTTTGTGACTGTGCTAAATGTAATAATAAACTATATTTGTAAATATACAAGACTACCTATATGGTGAATGTTGCAACTGTGCACATCAGGGTTCCCAGCCACAGAATAATTAAACAGTGGCCCTGACTCTGGGAGAAAGGATCTGCAGTCTTAAAGGCCGTAACTGAAAATTCATAAGTAATTGAAGATCAGGCAACAGTGATGAGAAGATAAACTAGTTCCTTGTGTTTTACATTTAAAGCTTTTAAATAACTGGCTTTCAAATGCCTACAATGTACATTTCTCCCTCTCCTGGAAAAAAAATCTTTACTTTATGAGGTTACAGTCTAGGCGATGCTGAGTGAAAACAGAAAAAGCAGGAATTCATCAAGTCTTGAGCTTACCTCAAATTCGGCATGCTTGTGTACATCTTCAGCTCTCTGGCGGTTCAAAATAAACTCTGCCTCATTTGCAACACGCACTATGTGGTCTTTCATTGCATGACACAATAATCTAAAACAAAATAAAACACCACTTGACATTTATCTTCAAATTCCTTCAAATGAATTATTTCAATAATGGCCTTAAAATGGGAGAAGCTGAACATTAGCCAAATGTAATATAATTTTTCAATTGGTTCATGTTAATAACTTAACTATTTTAGAAAAAGTTCATTGTAATTTTACATATTTGTGAAAGCACAGAAAAAGCATTCTACAATGAAAGAGGTCTTATGCAGTGAGTTTAATATCAGCTATTTAAGTAAAGGAAACATTGATTTCAGAAATGTTATTTTGGATTTGCTTATAGTGAGACAGCAATCACAATGAATATAGGAACTTTATATATTGTTTATTGGAATAATTGCTTAATTGTTACAGGTATTTTACCTAGCTAATTAAAATTTGAATGCTTTCAGTGCATAAAAGATCAATGTCTTTTTATTTTTATGTATAAAGGAAAAATCAAAGAAATGCAAAAAATACAGATGATATGACTGGAATGATTTAAATTTACTATTATTAACAACTAGCCAATTAGCCCATCATAAGACGGGATTTTCAGGTCTTCTCTCCTGAGCTCTCTCTCTCTCTCTCTTTCCTACTGCCACCCCCCTTCTCTCTCAGCTCTCCTCTGCCTCCTGCCTCTCTCTCTGTCTCTTTCTTTCTCTTCTCCTCCTCCTACCTCTCTCTCACTCTTTCTCTTCTCCTCCTCCTCCTCCTGCCTCTCTCTCCCCTCCATCTCTCCCCACTCCCCTTCCCCTTCTCCTTCTCCTTCCCCCCCGCTTTGGTGCTTGGTTGAGTGCTGCCTGCTCAGCCGGGCTGCTGCGAGGGAGAGGGGTGGGACAGTGACGTACACAGCTGGGGCCAGGGCCGTGTACATCACTGCCCTCCCTTCCCCTCCCATCCTGGGGGAGCCCAAACAGCCCCTTCTGCTGCTGGCTCCCCCAGCAACCCGGCTGAGGGGTGCAGAACTCAGTGCGACAGTGGAAGAAGGAAGGGGGGTGGTGGTGATGTACACAGCCCCTCCCCTGGCTCTGTACATCACCGCCCCGCCCTCCTGTGCCACTGGGCCCACCTGAGTGGCGCTCAGCTGGGCCCCAGTAGGGGAGCAAGTGGCAGCAAGTGGCCCTTTGGGGTCTGGCTGAGGCCAGTGGCTGCCCCGCCCCCG